AAATAAATAAATAAATAAATAAATAAATAAATAAATAAATAAATCGCATTGCGATGTTTCCTCTGTGGTTTTTTCGCTTTGCGATGATCGGTTCCCTGTTTCGCTTACCGATCATCGCAAAATGACATTTTTTAAATAGCTGATCGGCGGTTCCAAAATGGCCACCGGGTTAAAAAATGGCCACCCGCTTAGGGATGGATTCCCCGCATAAGAGGCAGCAAAAATGGCCGCCGCATGGAGGATCTTCTATTTAAGGTGAGTTTTAAGCCCATAGGAACTCATTAAACAGGTTTTAATGTGTTTCTATGTCCTTTTTAAAATTGCATAGCGACGAAATTGCTGCACAGATTAACGTCGCTATGCGAGGCAACACTGTATACTGTTCTCTGTCGCATTCTGTATTTTATATTTACCCCAACAACTGGTCCAAATCCCCTTCCATATGATGTTTCTTTACCCAATGGAAAATGATTTTTTTTAAAAAAGGAAGGCTTTTGGGGGCAGAAACACCCAAAATGAATGGTAGTGAAGGTTGCAAGCATTAAATGCCCTTAAGGCAGAGGTCCCCAACCCCCAGTCTGTGGCCCCGTGCTGGGCCACGAAGGCAGGCCTCCTGCCCCATCCCCCACACGGACTCAGCCCTGCAAAGTCTGTTTGTGCCTACATGCACACTTGTGTGGACTCGTGGCGCAGCGCTAGTTTGGGCACACATGGCGCATGCACAAATGGCGGTGGTACTGTTCACGCATGAGCACCCGCACACCCACACAAGCACCACATCGCTGTTCACGTACGCACGCGAGCACGGGGGTGCCCCACCTTCCCCAGGCTGTTCACGTACGCACGCAAGCACGATGGTGCCCCACCTTCCCCAGCCGGTCTGCGGACCAAAAAAAGTTGGGGACCACTGCCTTAAGGAAAGCTTACTGGGAAGGTCAGACTGTGATGTCTGTGGAGCCTGGTGTCTACTTCACAAGATTTTCTAAAATGGTTTCTCCTCTATTTTGTCTCTCCAGGCCTGAACTCATCCAGTACAGCTCCCTGAGGCGTGACCAGCCCATCAGGAACCTAAATAATGCCTTCACTGTGGCAGAGAAGCAGCTGGGAATCATAAAGTTGTTGGACCCCGAGGATGTGGCGGGGCCATTTCCAGATGAGAAATCTATCATGACTTATGTTTCCTTCTACTACCATTACTTTTCCAAGCTGAAGCAAGGCCAGACTGTCCAGAAAAGGCTTGCTAAAGTCAGTGCATTCCTATTTCAAAAATTAATATGAAATATGAATGTTCCTAGTTATATTCTGCCTAAGGAATGGCACTATGTGGGCCAATTGTGATGTATATTGAGAGAGAGATTAGCCGAAAACATTCACACAATTTTGTGAAGCTAACATTATTTATTTATTTATTTATTTATTTATTGGACTTATATACCGTCCCATAGCGCTACAAGCACTCTCCGGGCGGTTTACAATTTAATTATACAGGCTACACATTGCCCCCCCAGCAAGCTGGGTACTCATTTTACCGACCTCGGAAGGATAGAAGGCTGAGTCAACCTTGAGCCGGCTACCTGGGATTTGAACCCCAGGTCGTGAGCACAGTTTTTAGCTGCAGTACAGCGTTTTAACCACTGCGCCACGAGGCTCTTTAAGCCTCGTTAAGCCATTTTTGGTGCCACATTGGAATGCTTTTTAAAAATGTCAGGAGTTTTGGCCTAGTCAAGCAATCCTAACAAGAATAATCCTTGGTGTCAAAAATAATACCTTCTCAGTGTTTTCACCCAGATCCTTGTACTTGAGAAATGATACTTAAGACACTGTTGTTAAATATCTTCATCTACAGTATTCATATGCTCTTTGCAGGAATACTATTTATTATTTTATTTACTGAATTATTATTTATTGCATTTCCTTTTCAATACATTTACATTCTGCCTTTCTCCCAGTTCAGGGATCCAAAGTAGCAAAAACTTTTTACATACTAAATATATTTACTCTGGTGTGGATGAATCTATCAATTTTGGTTTCTCATTTTCTTTCTTTCTTAAGGTTGCTTCATCCTGGTTCCATATCAATTCATGGACATGCACATGTTTTCCCCACACAGTCTAGCCTATGGACCATCCAAGCTATTTTTCCTACTACAATACATTTAATACATGGTTTCATAAGTGCAACTGCGTGTACAAACTTCCTTTACATTTACCTTTATGAGTACACCTTTTAAAGCTGGAGAACTGCACTGCAAAATTCAGAGAAGGAACAGTGTCATGGTTCAGAAGCAAGATTTAAAAATGTGAAACCAGGACATTTTCCCCCATGGAGAAGGGTGTAACGTCTAAAATGTTCTATTCCTTTCATTTTCTTCTAATGACAGGGTTTCTGTCTTTTCCACTTTCCTTTCAAATTCTGTTTCTTCCCACCTTGGTTCTCTTCCAGCGGTGTTTCCTTTTCCTCATGTCTTCCTTCCTACCTTCTTTGAAAGACATAAACAAACCTCAAGGAGACATGATAATCTCCTCCTGACCTCAGCCACCCTCCATAGGCAGCTCTGCGTTCCCTAATAGGATTGCCCCAGGGAAGCCTCCCTTTTGTCAAAGCAGCCCGGGTGTCAAGACTAGTAGGCGAGCAGGAATGCAGAGGGAACCCAAGCAGAGAGGCGAATCTCCCTTCCCCCACCCACACCAATGACTGTGCATTTAATAGGATCCTTCAGCGAGAACTGGGTGCGATGGCAGAATGCACAGAAAGGGGTCTTAATGCCCCACGCTGCTTTTCCTGCACTAAAGGTTGGTGCTGTTCTTTCACTCCTCTTCCTCCACTGTGTCCTGCTTCCTTCATTCTGTGTGCACTCTGAAACAAATGCAAGTAGATTAGCACGTGTTGTTCACTGTCCTTTACTCAGCATCAGCACCATTTTCATTAACCTAACCATCTGCCTGCTCAGAGAAACAGTGGAGAACTGGGATGGGGGAAGAGACTGTTATTATGTACTGTTTGCTTCTACTGTACAGGACGGTTTGTAGCCTCGGACATTTCAGTGTTAGCACTTTGAAAGCTTGGATTATGAAGAAGTGGGTTGGAAACTAAAAATAGCAAACAAGTAGTATAAGTGAAAGGTCACCAAAGATATTTTTAAATGCCTTTGTTTTGAGGGTGGTCCCACAGGATTCCACTTGGATCCTGACTTGGGTCTGACACCTGCCATCTGCATAGGGGCTCTGCAGATCTTCACACTTCCTGCTGACAACTCACCTGGTCTTGCTATTGTAGCAGCAAATGCTTTGCTGGATTGTGTCTCCTCACAGAGTCACTGGCTCCAGTTTCTGGTTAGGCTTGTTGTTATTAGTTAGGGAAGACAGCTACTTGAAAAGTACAGATGATAGGCACAAATTTTGTTTCAGGTTGCTTTGGATCAGAATTTATCAAAATGCATAGAATTGGAATGTAGGAGAAAGTGAAACAGACAGATCTACCCATCCCAAAAAAGCACACTAAAATTCATCTTAAGATATAGAGTTCAAAGTTATGGCACTAAACACCCAAATGAAATGAATTAGCTTGGGTCCTTTAGGGAAGTTGAGGATTGTTGACCTCCAGGTCTTGCTGATCAAGGAAAAAAGGTGTCGAAGAGTTGGATTGCAAAGGACAATTATCAGGGCTTGGTCACTTGAGGGCAAAACAGAACAGAGAGCCTTGTGCTTGACAAAACCTAAGGTTAGCAATATTTCTGTTCTGACACTAAGCTTGGAAGCAGCTAGTTACAAATGATGGCAGAAATCCTAGTCATGCCACTGTGCCTGAAGAAGACTGATGATGTCATCAGCAGGGGCATTTTTTGAAAAAAAAATTAAGTACTTCCTACTTCTATCCCATGATGTGCATGGATCCCATGTAATCTCTTTCATCATTTAGAAGCTGTGGGAGCTGCAAAATGGGAGGAAGAAGTTTTTAATTGCTGAAAACTGCTGCTGGCAGAAATGTCATTGTGGTGGCAGCAATTTTACATAAAGGCAGTTATTGTGGCTTCCAAATGATGACAGAGATTACAAGGTAGCCATGGGACAGAATTAGGAACTGTTTGATTTTTAAAAAATTACTCCTGATGATATCAGTCTTCTTGCAGACAAAGTTGAACTAATTTATTTATTTATTTAATTGTATTTTATTTATATCCCGCCTGTCTGGTTGGTTATTATTATTATTTCCTAAGGAGAAATAACATCACTGTTTTTGAGTGTAATTTTTTGTTTAATTTGTAGAGGATGCAACCTTACTACTTGGGTGCATTTTATAACCATGGACCAGCTGTTTGTAGCATGATGCTTTAAAAAAAAGTAATTTGGGCATTTTAGTTAGTTTTGAAAAATGAAAAAGTTCATTAAAACATAACTATAGTGGAAACAAATCCTAATTATTTTTCTAAGCTATGTGAATCTCTTGCTGTTCTGTATTTTAAAATATCTATCTTTAAAATGACATCAATTAAAAATCTATGTTTTAAATTAGTTAAATTAGATACCAGCTGCAGATGGCAGGGCTGGGTGTTCTGTTTTATTTATCCTTCTCTTTTCCCCCAGCTTCCTGGAGAAGGTTCCAATCAACTTCTGAAGTCCCTTATTCAATCCAGTAGGGAAGGGGTGTACTTTAAAATGTATTTGTTTGGGTTTTTTTAAAAAATTTACTTTATTTTAAAAATGAGCACTTTGATACATTCTTAAAAGAGCAGTGCAGGGAACCTACTGTTCTATACTTTCTGCCCATTCTCTCTGCTCCCATCCTTTCTTTTTTCTGGATATGAAATTTGTGGTGTTGTGACCACAAGGCTTTATTGATTTAATGAAGGACTCTGCGGGCAAGGAAGATTCATTTCTAAGGCTTTTTAAAAATCTTACTGTCCTTTATTTTCCTTAGTTTTTCTTTCTGTGCTGACCAGCACTCCTTGCTCTGCCCTGAAGTTGCCCTAGAAATACATGAATGACCCTGATTCAGTCTCTTTACACATTTGTTCTGAAAGCAGTGCATGTGCCTAATTTAAATCATGCTACGAAATTCAAGGCTGATGTACGCAAACTTTTTTTTGGAAGATTTAAGGTTAAAATATTTAAACGAATTTGTAGATGGTTTGCCAAATGCTTACATTCCCAGCTGGCACATGTCCATCCATCCCACTCAGCAAGCTTTTAGTCTCGTGAGTGGATGAAAAACTGAATGTAAAATATTGTCCATTGAGATAACTGGTTTATCATGTACTTAAATCCAGTTTTAAGTACATCTTAAAACCATCAGAAAGAGTGGATGAGGCAACTGTTTAGTAGGTCCATCTGGCCACTTCACAGACAGTGTTATTCTGACAAGCAGTGACCAAAGGGGAATTTTATCATGCATCCACTGCAAATATATGATAAAAAGTAGACAAAAATGACCCACTGTGTTCAGCCAAAGTGATTAAAGCACTTGATCCTTAGTCCTCTTGCTAAATTGGCATGAATATGATCACTCACCTGCTTTCTTGAATAAAGAGTATTTTAGTTCTAAGCACAATGCCATCACACTGAAACCATGTTCACCTGGAACTACATTAGCCCATGTGCCAAATAATTTTTTTTTCTGATACTGTTAGTGCCAAAGGTAAAACATATTGTCACTGGTGTAGTGCCTGTACATTTTCTTCTCCATGGCTAGTAACAATTCTGGAAATGTTGGTGCCGTAGAGATAAGAGTTCTCCTCTTTCTTTGCCATGTCTGTGACTTAAATCAGGACCAGGCACCAGAGCTACTTTTAGAATAAAATTATGTTGTGAGATCTAGTTATGAATCTTTCATATAATATATTGCTTTATCTTAAAATATTTTAAATTTATCCCTGGTTTAACTGAAGCCTGTAATTAGAATTCTCCTGTGTTGCGTGCAAAAATCCTTCATTCATTCATTCATTCATTCATTCATTCATTCATTCATTCATTCGTTCATTCATTGTGCTTTACATTTCTGCAGATTGTTTTCTTCCTGAAGGAGACAGATGACTTGAAGTCCCAATATGAACAAATGGTCTCTGAGCTTTTGGAATGGATAAAGGTCAAAGTGGCAGAACTGGATAATCGCTCCTTTCCCAATTCGCTGGAGGAGATGCGCCTTCTCATCAACAACTTCAAGATCTTCCGCACAGTGGAGAAACCTCCCAAGTATCGGGAGAAAGGAATAATCGAAGCCCACTTCTTCCACATCAGAACCAAGCAACGAGCCCAGAATCAGCGGGCTTATCTACCCCCTGAAGGAAGGACCCTGAGAGGTTTGGAAAAGGAATGGCTTATACTGGAGAAGGCAGAGAGCAACCGAGGGAAAGCACTACAGCAGGCGCTGTTGAGACTGGAAAGAATGGAGCAACTGGTCCAGAGGTTCATGAAGAAAGCTGCTGTTCGTGTGGCCTACCTAAAGGACACGAGGGAGATCCTGAAACAGCAGGACGACTGGCAACCTGATAGTGTGGAACAACTGGAGGCAGCCAAGAGGAAGCTGGAGGCCATTGAGGCACATATGCTGCCCCAGGAACAACGCTTCAAAGCCCTCTCTGAGATGGCGTCAGAAATCAAAAGGGAGAACTACCAGGACAATATCCAGATCACAAAGAAGTGAGTTGAAAAGTGATGCCAGATGGTTCTTCTTTTCTCTCAAACAGGAATGTCATAGATAATATCAGATGGCAGTACCTGGAAAGAAGTCTTTTGGAATATACAAATTAACTACCCTTATAGGTTTTTTAATTCCATGAAATGATTGATTAGGTGAGGTCAGGTAAAAAGCCAAGGACACCAACCCCAAAGAGAAGCCTTTTAAAACCTTGTTATTTAGGCAGGTGTTTCAAAATATCACACCTGTGGAGCCTGTTGAACCTTTTTAGCCTAACTCAGTCTAATTCCACCATTTTAATTGTCTGTCCATGTAAATTGTATTTTAATTGTATTGTTTATTTTCACTTTACTATTATTATTTTTAGTTGGCTGTATTCTCCATTTTAGCCATGTTTATTGTGTGTTTTCTGTTGAAAACCGCCCAGAGTACCCTTTGGACAGATGGCCAGTATAAAAATGAAACAAGGAAATAAAATAAAAATTTTAGAACAAAAAGGAAACAGAAGCCCAAACATGTTTTAAGGAAACATTGTATCAAGAAAAATGCCTAGTGCTTCCCAATAAAATCCGTCTAGGAATGACTTATGCAGCAACTCCAGTAGTTTTTAATTAGGTATTTTCCTTGACAGATGAATTGAACAATGCCCAGGGTCAGTGATTTACATTCAGACGTGTTCTGTAATATTGCAGCATTATCAGGCTCCTCACATTCAGTCAGAAGGCGGAAATACAGGAAATGCTGGAATGCATTCAGCAATCCAGCAAAATGGAGAATGCAGCCACAAAACCAGAAGAAAAATAAGATTTGGAAGGTCAGCTAGGCTGGAACCAGAAAATATCCTTATGTATAGGAATGTGTTATTGGAAAGGAAGGACAAGATCATCCATACTATGGTATTCCTGTTTGAGATGTAGAGATCTGAAGTCTGATAAGAAAATAAAAACCAATGCATTCAAAATGTGGGGTAGAGGAAAAGTTTATGGGAAACATTTGGACTGACAGAATGAAAAGTGGAGTTTAGATCAAATTAAGCCTCAACTCTCACTAGAAGCGGAAACGACTAAACTTGAAGCTAACTTTAGCTAAATCAAAAGACGATTAATTGTTCTTTAAAAAGGCAATAGCGCTTGGAAAAGTGGAAAGCAGGAGGAAAAGTAGAACCCCTAACATGAGATGGATTGGCTCAATAAAGGAAGCCATGGTTTTTAGTTTTCAGGATCGGAGCAGGGCTAAAAAACTCGCAGAATCCTGGATTCTGGTTTCCCAATCCATGACATCTTGTTCAATGTACACATTGAACTACAGTGATGTAAATTTCTGCATCTTTGTCAATGGCAGCCAATAATGTGGAAAAGGACTTATGAAAATATGGGTAATAAGAACATCAGAACATGGGGTAAATTGAATCCCATGGGAGGATGCAGAATCAAAGAAGAAACTACCTTTTTATGGCTGTTCTATGTGTCTCTTTAAGTAAATAATGTTTAGAGTCTTACGATGTGCAACATCTCTTTTTCGTTCCCTCCATGCACAGGCAAAAGGAGATTGCACAACAATGGCAAGATCTTTCGAATCAGCTCAAAAGACAAAAATGGTTTTTGGGAGAGATAGAGGAATCCCTGGTCCTCTTGAGAGACATCAATTCCATTACAGAGGAACTTAAGGGATTGCAGGTATTTTGTATTATAAATTCTATTAATGAACCTTAGCGGGCAGATCAGTTTGGAAACAACTAAAGATGGCACCCTGTGGTAAAAGCACTGATAATATTATCTTTGGATTCCAAAAAGTAAACTTGCATATGTGTACCTGCTCATATGTCCATCTGAATATACATACACTCAGGAGTGGCAGCTATGTGAAAAATATTCAGTTTCTCAAAAGGTATGGTCATAGGTGTCTATAGATCTCAGAGTCCTTAAAAATATGCCAATGTGTGTGTCTATATTAGGTTAGAAGGCTGATTTCCTGGTATGAAAAGCACCCATGTTTAGAAAGAAAAGTAACACAATTTTACATGCACGTAGTATATTCCACTGTGCATGTGTCTCATTTTCATAAGAACTGCTGTGAGCCAAAGTTTAGTATGAGTTCTGATCCCACTAACAGGAGTGGCTATGGCTCTATTATTGCTTTCCCTTATTATAATCCTTTCGGTCTCACAGTTCTAGGATTAGGCAGGAGAATTCAGGTCAAAGGACATGACTTCCCAGCAGTCTGGAGCCTGGGAAAATAATACCTGAGAAATTACTCACTCCACTCAGAACTGTATCTCTGCAAATTAATAGGATTCTCACATTTCCATTGATACTTTTGGGCTTTGGAGACATACTATGGACGTCTGACTCTGACTGATAATCTATCATTATAGGCATGATACTAAACCACTGCTTGATAAACTGGATATCTGCTATATTCTGCTAGGTAGTCTAGAACACATGATCCTTCTTTCCTTAGATTTCTGATGAAGTATGAGTTATCATCATGGCAGGGGGACTGGTTTGACCAGTGGTAGTATGCAACCTGCAGAAAGCTGCAACTTGATAAATGGTCATCTCTAAACCATTGTCTGCAAACAAACAGCCGGAGAAGAAAACCATTATTTCTCTTGCCTTCAATTTTCAGATTCAAATGAGTTCACAGGACTGTGGGAAACAACTACTGGAAGTGGTGGATTTGTTGCAAAAGCACAAGTTGATTGCCTCGCAGATCTCTTCCCTTGGGGAGAGGATTAGGCATATTGATGAAAGAGTGGGAAATGTCACAAAAGGAAAAAGGATAAGATCGGATGTGCTTCAAGCAAAACTTTGGATGCTCCATCATCTGTATCAAAATCTTGTGGACCTCTGCAAAACACGGTAAATTTCTCCCCCTCATTAGTCAGCCAAAAATTCTTATTAACTGTATCTTTACATGATATGTTCATATAAATTGATCAGAAAGGGTGATAAAATACACCTTTGTCTGACATCTTTGCCAACTGGCCTGCAGAGCAGGGCAATGAAATGCCAGAAGGTTGCTTCTGATCAAGTGAGATATTGTACGATTACTTCTGGTTTGAAGCACCTGGTATTTCTTTTGTTACAATCCCAGTGGATTATTTGAAGCATACCCTTTATGATGGGATGCCTCCTTCCCTCCAAAAACATATGGACTTGTATTTGTCAGGCGAGACAATGATGCCTACGCTCATAATGCATATGCTCTTGATGTGTACATTTGATGTTCCCCCAAGGCATCAAATTTAGAAGTTGTATACTCATAATGCATATGCTCTTGATGCTCTTTGATGCCCCCAAGGCATCAAATTTAGAAGTTGTATCCAAAATGAGGATGACAGCCTCATCTACAACCATAGGCAAAAGGCTCAAAAAGATATTTCTTCCTTTACTGCATAGTCCCATTCTGGCACTGGGTCCTCCTCCTTTACACTATAGACGTTACCTATTTCTTCTTGGGTGTCACCCCAGGCTCCTTCGTCCTTCCCCTTCGAGGTTGCTTCCTCTATCCTATGCTTCTCCTCCAGTCTCCCCTCCTCCCCTCTAAAGGGCCTCCCTTATACCTCCCCTGTCCGGATTAACCCCTTTTCTTCCTTCTCCATGGGGCTCCCATCTCCTACAACCATCAACAGTTCCTCTACCTGTGTTTCACTGTTCCAGGCCTTTCTACCCTCAAGCTCAGTATCCTCTACATTCTCTGTGCCATTCTGCTCCTTAGGGCCTGGCCTGAGGTTAGACCCCCTGCGGAGGATGCAACCCCCTCACACTTGGCTTAAAGAGAAAAAAGAAAATGTGAAAGAGAGAATGAAAGGAAGAGAAAATGGCTTGGGCTTCTTTTAAATTCTGACCCATTGACCTGTGACTTCAGCTCTTGCCACCACAGGATCATGGCCCTTAAGAGAAACTCACAAACATCTGCTCAAAAGTTTACTCAAAAGCCTACTTTGATTGGAACTGCCCTTTAAAATCATGAGAAGGGAATTTTTTCTCTGGTTCTCCCATGATATCCTATGAATCAAAGTGAACCACAAAAGAACTGGAAAATATTTTTGCTTTGCTGAAAAACTGATTGCTTTAAAATATTTTTGTCCTATGTACATTATACATTGACATTATACAGTGATGCCTCGCTTAACGATGTTAATTGGTTCCCAAAAAAGCATTGCTATGGGAAAACATCGCTAAGCAAAACACCATTTCCCATAAGAATGCATTAAAAACCGGTTAATCCGTTCCAATGGGAACGGATTACCGTCCTTAAGCGAAAATCCCCATAAGAAACATCGCTAAGCGATACAATGTTTCCCCTATTGGAATGCATTGAAGCCTATTCAATGCATTCCAATGGTTTTGCAATGTCCGTTTTTGCAATTTTAAGTGTGTCTTAAAAGGTTCAAAATGGTTTTAAATGCTTGGGATCGTTAATGCACCTTCTAAAACCTTTGCAAACTTAATTTGGCTTTGTTCTGAGTCTTCGTTAATGTTTGGTGAATTCCCCCCCCCCATTGGAAAGCATTGAACTGCAGGTTTGACAGCTGAACATTTTAAGACACTTTAAAAATAGCGAAAACGGAACATTGCTAAGCGAAACTGGGGACCTAAAACTGTCATCGCTAAGCGAGGCAAGGTCCCGAACATCGCTATGCGAAATTTCCCCATAGGGAACATCGCTAAACGGAGCGCAAAATTGTTCCAAAAACCTCATCGCTAAGCGAATACATCGTTAAACGAGGCAATCGCTAAGCGTATTGACATTATACCCTAAATTAACAGAAAAGCACAAGATTCTACAGGAATTAAGAAAAAAGGTAGATAAGTGATCACAGCAAAGATCTTAGCAACTTCAATATGAACAAATATTTAGAAGGCAATTCCCAAATCTTTCATGGCCACTAAAGTCTTAGTCACACAGAGAATGCCCTTGAGTCCAACTTGGATTGGAATTTTCCCAGATTCTGAAATATTTTAACTGTTAGAAAAAAATGGCGTGGAGATCTTATAAGCATTATAAACATTGTCATTTATTTCTTTGCATTAGTCAGCATCAGCTGGAAGAAACGCTAAAGCTTTTTGAGTTTTTCCATGAATGCAATGAAGAGGAGCTCTGGTTGTTTAACAAATGGAAGCTGGTGAAGACAGCAAGCTTAGGGCGTGATCTTAACCACATTGCAGCTGCTCTCCAGGGCCACAAGGTTGGAGATCTATGTAATCTTAATCACTTGTGCAGCTTTTAAAAATACTAGATGATTAATGTTAATGAAATGAGTACAAAATGAAATGGTAAGAACCAAAGATGTCCTAGTGTCAAAGTAAAGAGTTGTACTGGCACTTGAGAGAGCCATATTCTAGTTCCCACTCAGCTGGGAAAATTTTATTTATTCATTACATTTATACCCCGCCCATCTAGTGTCCCAGCACTACTCTTGGCTAACATTAACTACCCACCCCAGCCCACAAAGACACAAATAATGAGATTCAAACCAAAACAGTAATAACCCAAAATACAAAATGAACCAAGAGTGAAAAACTAATGAGGATCAATATCCAATTCATGGATCCACGAGGATGTCAAAGTGGTGAGATGTTTCTGAAGTCCTCTTCAAACAATGTAGCTTTTATCTGTTTCTTAAAGGTCAGAAGGAAGGAAGCCTGGCTTATATCTTCAGGGAATGCATTCCATAGCATTACGGCCACCACTCAGAAGGCCCAGTTCCTGTGGGTAATTTCCCAGGCTCCTCTAGGGAGGGACACCCGCAAAATTACTGTGTGACATCGGACACGTCTCTCTTTCTCCCTCAGTCTCACCTACCTAAACGGTTGGGATGAGAATAAAGAGGAGAGCCACACATGTTGCCTTGAAGAGGCATTATATTTCCTTATAGCAGGAAATATGCAACTAATCAATAGATTTTGGTTGTTATAGGCCTTCAAATTGGAACTGACAAATAGTGACCCTAATGGGAAGTTCAGGGTAAGTGGGACATTTAAGGAGTTGTTTTAGCCACACAGACACCAGCATGTGTCACAACACCTGTGGTGTCATCAGACCTGGCTTACCTCCTTAGGGATGGTTGGAACTGACAAGCAGTGACCCTAATGGGACACCAGCATGTATCACAACACCTGTGGTGCCATCAGACCTGGCTTACCTCCTTAGGGATGGGCCACAACATGCTCCCATGGCCTCATCGCAAAGACAAAGCCATCATAGTGTTAAGATGGCAAAAAGGCCAGCAGCTTTTAGTATGGAGAGATTTTTTTTCCTTAAGGAAACTCCTAAAATAACTGTTTTTGTTACTTTAGGGAGATGGCAAAATACTTTTCTTTTTTGAAGAACAACTGTAACTAAGTACTTGGAATTATAACCATAACAAATTACTTTTTAAAAGAAATCTCCCAAGCCATGAATGCTGTTAGATCCAGCTTCAGGATAGCATCTAGTAATAATCTACTCACTTCTTCTTGATAGGCCTTACAAACTGATTGCAATTCCCACCAACTAATCTGTTCCAAGATTATCTGCAAGAGTCAGGAACTAAGTCAAAAGAACCCTTCAAACCGGAAGGATATCCAGATGAAGATCGACAGGATCCAGCAGTTGTGGCAACAACTCCAAGATGAGGTGGCCACTCACAAAATCCGTTTGGAGGCAGCTGCTCTCATCAAACAGGTAAACTGGTTTGTAGCTTGGGCCAAATGAGACAAGAAGGTATATTTAAGCAGGAATAGATTGAGTTCTTATGAGGTCTGTCAAGTTCTTGAAAGGTTTGTCATGTTAAGAGGTCCTCAACAGTGTAAAGATGTTAACATTTCAATTGTTTTGTTTTTTTATTTCATCAGTACTTTGCTGATGTTGATGAGGTGGAATCCTGGATGCAGGAACAGGAAACCCTCTTAACTAGCATGAATTATGGGAAAGACGAATTTAGCGCTGAAGCCTTGTTACATCGCCACATTCGTTTGGAGAAGGAACTTGCTGCTTTTTCTTCAGAAATCAGCCATTTGGAAGAGCAAGCTCATTCTGTGACCCAGCAGGCTGCTTCTATGGTAAGTACTGAAAAGTTGCTGATCAGTTAGCAAACTCTGCGATGCAAGTCTCAAGAACTCAGAATTCAATGTGGTGGCTCTTTCTCTTGTCAGATGGCATCAGTGCCAGCAACAAACGTGGCGAGCTCCAATAACAGAAACATGGGAGTAACCAGAAGACTAGCAGCAAGTCATTCTGCATCACGCATTTCTCCCCAAACTACATTCTCTGGCCCATTTGGCTCTGATCCCCACTTTGTTACTTTCCCAAAAAATATCTGGAAAACCCAGAATAAGATCAACTTGTTGTATGAAAAACTGCAAACCATGGTTGAGGTATGTTTAGAATGTAATTATTGCTACTGAAATTAATTTCCTATTGACTTCACTGTTTACAGCTCTACTGTGTTTACATCTGTCCTGTACATATTCTTTAAATTCTGGATAACACTGTGCATCTTGTGAAATAGGCTGTGCTCCTCAAAGGACCATGTCATAATAAATCCATGAGTCTTTCACATGTATCAGGGACTGTAGCTTCTTCCTCAAACCATCTTTGTTGACTTTATAAAGTCTATAGATAGACAGGTAGACAGATACATAGACAGCAGGACAGATAAAGATGTATACATCCCCTGTAGATTTTGCTTGATTTGCTCAATATGTTTCACTATTTTTAACAGTTGCATATCTATGTTACCTTCAAAGTTTTGGTGCTTATTCCAGCTGTGCCTAATTTTCTCCAAACAGCACAGGAAAAGAGAATTAGAAGAAATGATCAGACTTTACCAGTTTTACAGCTCCTGTGGAGAATTTCAGTCCTGGATAGATGACAAAGAAAAAATTTTCCAGACTATTCGGCCAACAGCAGACAATGTGGAGACTATGCAGCAAAAATACCAGGTGCTAAATTTTCTCCAGCATTCTTCCTGAGAGTCATCATTTATTTCTGCTTGCTTTGTTTACCTTTGTCAAAGATGAATTCAGGTTTCAGTAAATGGTGATGGGGCTGGGTGGGAAGAGACTTCACTGTGGAAAATACTCATAGCAAGGGTAAAAATTGTCCTCTCAGATATATAAGATGGAGACAATAAAGTAATGCATTTTAGTATAAGTTGCAATTCTTATTAATACCACTCAGAAAATAGAGAATGAAAGTTTTAAGAAGCTAAAAATATTATGAATCTATGATGGAAAGGGACTTGCGTCTTTCTGCAGGTCAGCCTTTACAGGCCCACTTTATTACTGATAATGAAAGTCATTCACTGTGTAGTTAGCATAAATAGGGGTTATTCAAATTAAAAATGATGTGAGCTGAAACCCCACCTAGTGTAGGTTATGCCTCTTAGGGTCATAAGTTGAGTGGGCTAACTGGGCTTTGACTAAGCATTTAGAAGAAGTTCATAAACAACAAATGTTTGGAAGGGCATGCACCTGCAGCTAAATAAACTCCATGAAGGAATTGCACGTTCAGCTGAGTTAAATGAAAATCAGCCACAACAGCTCTTGAATCAACACACTTTCCAACTAGGCTCATGTTAATATAGAGAGGATTTCTGAAATGTAGGGCTATTAGCAACATAGAAATTTCAGAGAACAGGCCCAGATACCCAATAGCAACTGTAGGGCTCTGCCAGTTTAAAGTTCCTTGTTGTTGTGAAAACAGGGGTTGTCGAAGGCTGACTTGATCTCGTTTTTTTATCAGGTAACCTCCCTGATAGAGGGAATGATGTAGACATAGTACATCTTGACTTCAGCAAAACATTTGACAAAGTGCCCCATGATATTCTGATTAGCAGACTAACTAGATGTGGGGTGGAGAGAACAACTTTCAGGTGGATACACAGTTGACTACAGAATTGTAGTCAGAGGATAATGATTAATGGCTCCTTCTCAACCTGGAGAAGGTCACAAGTGGGGTACCCCACGGCTCAGTCCTGGGCCCTGTGCTCTTCAACATTTTTATTAATGACCTGGATCAGGTGGGTGCAGGAAATGCTAATCAAATTTGTGAATGACAAAAAATTGGTTAGAACAGCTAATACCCTGGATGACAGAAACAAAATTCAAAATTATCTGGATAGGCTTGACTGCTGGGTTGAAAACAACAGTATGAAATTCAATAGGGACAAGTGCAGAGTACTGCACCTCAGAAAAATAAACCAAACACATGGTTACAAGATGGGGAATACCTGGCTCAGCAATACTATAAGCAAGAAAGATCTTGGAGTTGTTGTAGATCACAATCTGAATATGAGCCAACAGTGTGATGTGACTACAAAAAAGGCAAATGCTATTTTAGGCTGCATTGACAGAATTATAGTTCCCAAATCCCATGAGGTACTATTCTATTCAGCACTGGTAAGGCCTCATCTTGAGTATTGTGTCCAGTTCTGGACACCACACTTCAAGAAGGATGCTGACAAATTGAAACAAGTTCAGAGGAGGGCGACAAGGATGATCAGGGGGCTGACAAAAGGCTGAAGGAATTTGGCATGTTTAGCTTTGAGAAAAGAAGAGTAAGGGGAGTTATGATAGCACTTTTCAAACACTTAAAAGGCTGTCATTCAAAGGAAGGGCAGGATCTGTTCTCAATCATCCCAGAGTGCAGGACACACAACAATAGGCTCAAATTACAGGAAGCCATATTTCAGTTGAATATTAGGAAAAACGTCCTAACTGTTAGAACAGGACTGCAGTAGAATGAATTACCTCAAGAGGTGGTGAGTGCTCCAACACTGGAGGCATTCAAGAGAAATTTAGACAACCACCTAGCAGATATTCTTTGATCTGTATTCCTGCATCAAGCAGGGGGTTGGACTCAATGGTCTTATAGGCCCCTTCCAACTTCATGATTCTATGACTTTACAGTGGAAACATTCTTTCATATTCTCTGAATCCAGTGGTTCCTAATCTTGGATAATCCATGTGTTGTTGTGGGTTTTTCGGGCTCTGAAGAGTGGGTTCTGAAGATTGTTCTTCCTAACGTTTCACCAGTCTCTGTGGCCGGCATCTTCAGCTGATCCCAATGCATTAAAACAACATAATTACACAATTGAAAGCATAATAAGATATATTGAAACACAAATAACAATATTAAAAACCATTACTTTAAAAACACTATAAAAATGCCCACTCAATTTAACATATGTACTATCCCATAATGGCCTCTACTTATCCAAGTCAATTAAAAGTGTTCCTTAAAAGAAGGATATTTGTCTGGGGGAAGCGGGGGAGGACAAGTGACAATAGCAGCAATTTGTGATCTAATGCAATCATCCTAGTCTTAGTAAGTTAGTGAACAGCTATAAAAGGAGAAAAAAACATAATCTCAGTTCCAACATATATGGATATAATAATACATCTTGCTAAGAGCTAGGGCCAGACAAAGATGTTAGAGATAGCCTGTGACTAGAAAATCCTTAACTAATCAAAACATTTGAGTGCCACAGTACAGACTTCTGTCACCTACTAGATTCTGAAAAAACATGCTTTGTTTAGCAATTGGTCTTCAAAACTAAGTCACAGGATTGCTATGAACTTCTTTCCCATAAGCATGGAAAGAAAGTCACCCTTACCTCTCTGATACATTAAAGTGCTTGCAGCTGTTTTTCTGGCTTTACCATATTTTTCTGTGTATTAGACACTACTTTTTCCTAAAATCATTACACTAAAAATTGAGGGTTGTCTTATAGACAGAAGTAAGCTGAGGAGAGAACAAAACAGTCCATAACTTGCCTCTGCAAACAGGCTTCCTTAAATCAGCCCATACCTTGCCTTCCTTAAACAGGCTTAGCTTCCTCCAATCACGAGCCTGATGGAACTGATGTCAGCTGATGCTGAAAAACCAATTGGAACACACCTTGTAGGAGGTGGAGCCTGTAGGCTCAGATGCAACAGGGACTGGTAATGTCCAAGCATTCTGAGCTCAGAGGCTGACTACTAAAGCTAAGATTTCTTAATGGGGGGGGGGTTTAGAAAAGTAGGGGGATGGTCTTATAAAAGGGGATCAGAGGCTGACTACTCAAAGCTAAGATTTCTTAATTTGGGGGGGGGGAGAAAAGTAGGGGGATGGGCTTATAAAAGGGGGTGTCTTATAAATGGAAAAATATGGTATATAGCAATTTCAGGCTGAAGTTTCCCTGAGTGAAATACTACTATGTGAAAGCTTTCAAAGTAAAACTGCTAATGTTTATTTTTTGTGAGAAGGGGGAAAGTAAGTCACTGTACCTACCACTGAATTTAGCAGAAGTAAATTCATCCTGCTGTAGAAGATAATTGAAAGGTAATAATCCTGACAAAAACTTACAGAGAGGTAGTCATAATAGTGACCCTGGGCCAAGCAGGGAAAGGTATGTAAGGGCATTATCTCAATCTGTAATAACAGAAACAGCAAAGTGATTTAAGACAGATTTGATGTTTCTTTTTGTTAAATTTTGCAGCAGGGGTGGTGAACATGTGACAGTCCAGATGGTTTGAACCACAACTCCCAAAATCCCCAGCCTGTATTGTCCTTGATAAAGCGCTATGGGAGCCAGGAGTGCTGAAAGTTCATCATCCTGTTCTAGATCCTCAAAGGCTAAAATAAAAATTGAAAGGGAAAGCCAGCTTAGTGTAATAGGAATATTGGATACAATAAAGAAATAAACACATGGCTTGAGAAGAAAAATGCTGCATAAGACAGGATCTGCATAACTGTTTAATATGTGGTAGAGTTTGGAATTAAACTTTTATTCTTCAAGTAACCACCATCCACCTTATATTTTTTATTTTTTAAAGCATTTCCTAATAGAACTGGCTGCTGGGAAGAGCCAACTGGATGAGATTGTTTGCTTGGCAGAGGTCTTTTCTAAGAGCAATCCTGGAAAAGGGAATGAGATTCAAACTCGTATGAAAGAGATAAATATGAGGTAAAAGAGAGTGTGGCCAGAATAAGGAACCAGCTCCATACTACCTAAGAGCTGGTGTTGGCTTTATCCAGCCCTCCTCACTTCTTAATGTATTCAGCCTTAAGTCTGCTCCCTCTAGATTCCTGCCTTGTTCTGTAATTAACTGCATTAGCATTACATTTATTTTCATATTCAGTTTCCCTCATATGTGCATATGCATCTTTTCCTAGCACACAAATGTTAGTATACTACTTTTCTTTTGAGTCAAGAATGGCATCACAAAATGTTTGGAAGAGCACAACCCAAAGGATAACTGTGTTGTGATGTTCTTATGCCAATATTGGGCCAGGAAGTAGGAATTATGGCAGTTAACTTACAAACAGACCCAATGAAACTCTCCTTTATTCCTGTATACAGGCTGGTAATGGTAATGATGTGCCATCAAGACAATTTTGGATCATGGCAACTTTTGAAGTGTTTTCGAGGTATCAGGTACTCAGAAGTGAACTCCTTATTTCCACTGGTACTCTGAGACTGTGCAGCTTGCCCAAGATTGTGCAAGTGACAGGGCATGTCACCGCATCAGCCATCCATGGTCTGAATGATCTCAGCTGTCCTCTGTCCCAGGAGGTGTACTGGGGATTCAGACTTTGAGCCCATGGCTCCCAATCTGGTGCTCCATTTCTCCTAGCTGTAACAGCTCACTGATAATATTGACTCATCTATTAGTTGAGATCTCCTATACCTACCGGATAATGGTTGTTGTGGCTTTTTTGGGCTC